TTGATTTTGAAATAGTGCTTCAATTAGTGCAGTGGAGCTAAAAAATAGATACAAGGGATATGAAAGTGTCAATATATACAATTAAAATAGTTCGATAGCTATCTAATTAAAAAATTATGTTAATCATACGTTATCAACAAGTTCGTCATCCAATGTGAATCTCGAGATATGATATGAATATCGATAAAATCTTTTGAGCAAAGAATGTTCAAATTAATCGGTGTAATTCAGAGCTCCAAGTTCAGCAAACTTACAATCAAACTGACTGACTCGATGAGGCGAACTTAATGATATCAAAATTGATCAAATTCAAATCAAGACAAACTCAAATCAAGTCAGAAGAGGTTGTGGCAGGTGACGAGCAATTCAAGTGATGAGGAAAACAGAGTCATCCAATTTTTCCATTTTAATATCAAATTTACTGCAACATTAGAGATGAATTCAAGAGTTAGCTTGCACGAGAGACTCATTTGAGAGAGAGTAGAATTGCTTGATAGGCAATGCGAGAAGAGCTTTAAATAAGAAGCTTTCCTGAAAAAATTAATCAGAAATTTGCATGCATGTCTAGGATTGTAATCGACCCAATTATATCATAGATTGGACTTGGCATGATAAAATTTTAAGTTGTTCCTTTTTGGCTTGAGCTTGTTGAGTTTTCACATGTCATTTGAGCTTGATTTGTTTAAATTTTTCAATACTTAAACTTGATTTATTTAGGACAAGTAAACGAGCATTTAAACAAACTAAAATTTTGAACGAACATCTAGATTTTTATATAGAAATTTCTATAAATAAAAGAACAAATCTAAAAAATGTAAATAATTGAATTAATCATATAAGCAAAAAACTAGCCCACATGGTATTATATTGTGTTTAAATATATATATAGTCTCACAAGTTAATTCTAAGATAGAGAATAAAAATGAAAACTATAGCAAACAAAAATGTAAAGAGACTAGTAGTACAAAATAACTCATAATATAAAATTGTTTATCAATTTTAAAAATAATTGAGAAAAATCGAAGACATCCAAGTCAAGCATCATAACTCCAAAATATTAATTAAATAATTATTATTAATTTAAATAATTTATTCTAATTAATAATTGATATACCACCAACAAATTTTCATCATCCAATACGAATCTCAAGGTATGACACGAATCTCAAGATGATATTTTAAGCAAGAAATATTTAAATCTTGATAAAAAGTCATCCAGAGCTCCGATTTCAGCAAACTTATAGTCAAACTGACATGTTCAATGAGACGGACTTAATGATATGAAAACTAGCATAATCCAAGTCAAATCAATCCCAGATCAAGTCATTAAAGTATAGTTAGAAGATTTATGAATACATTTGAAAAATCAAACGTCTGTCAAATATGACAAGTTTATACTCAAATCGAGTGGCCCGACAAGACGAATCCAACGAGCTCAAGATCACTCAATTCTGACATCATTAAGCATGCTCAATTACGACATCTTTAAGGCACTCAAATATCCATTAAACGTCGTATAATCAAGAGAAGCTCTCTGGATTGTCTGATCAAAATGGTTTATATTTCTGCATTAATTGCACCCATAACACTATAAATAGAACTTCATCCCTCTCTTGATGGGGCAGGAAGTCTAGAGAAAGCCTGAGGTCTTTAGGAGAAGCTGCAGCTCAGCATCTTCATCAATCTTCATCGACCACCGTCGACCACCACCGACCTCCGTCGTCGACCTTCGTCGATCCCTGACGACCTCCGTCGACCTCAGACGACCACCGCCGACCGTCGTCCACCTCCACCTACCGTTATCAATCACCACCAACCAGACGCCGTCAGTCGACATTGTAATCTAAAAAATATAGTTATCATTTCCCGTCTGTAGAACAAGAGATTTCTGTAATCATCAATCAATAGTGGATTTTCGCAACTGAGCCAGACCCAGTGGTTTTTCCCTAACAGGTTTTTCACGTAAAAACTTATGGAGTCATCACCGCTTGTTTTCTCTTTCATCCTCTTTCATCTGTTCTCTTTCATCTGTGTGTGTGCTAAACTTTCGTACAACGCTAAGACGATAGTCTGTTACTCTACCGCCGTGAATTTTCTAGAACGCATCAATAACAATAAAACTTCTTGCATATTTTGATAATAAATGTATTAATTTTAAATCATTGGCCGAAGAAGGCGATTCATCGAGCTATGAATGGGAAAAAAAATGCGAAAAAGGCAGAATATTTAATAGAAAAGATTAGTTAAAGACATTAGGTTATAAAGTGATGATCCAATCGTCATCAATAGATGAAAAAAAAAAATGAAGATATAAAATGTTGTAGAATTAATATTAATTATATGATTAATAAATATGTATTATGTATTCATAAAATGATTAATTAATTAAAATTAAAAGTGTGATGATAAATAAATAAGTTCAATTATGTTTGTGTTTAGTTTATTAAAGTTTTGAGCTTTAAAAAAAATATTAAAGCTTGTTTGTTTACTATTATAAAAGAACATGAATGAGTCTCAATTGAGCTGAGTTGTTCATCGAGTGCATTGGTTCATATACAGCCGTATTCGTACCCCACAATTCTTATATATTTACATAGATATCTCCTATATTTTGATATTTACATTTGTAGCACCATTATGTCATAAACCTGCCCACCAAAATGTGAATTTAATTTGGTGTGATGTTGAGGATTTGAGTGATATGCATGTAAATATGTAAATATGAATGCGTGGGTCTTCAATATCTAAAAAGATTAAAATTGTGTAGTATGTTTGTTGATGCTCCAACAATATTTATATGCATGGTGTCGAAACATTCATGAATATGAGAGCTTATTCCTTATATTAATAAGTACTTTGATTAATAAAAAAATTGAGAGACATTTGCTCCATATTTTGCTATGTTAGGTATACTAATTCATTATTGTGCATTAACACCCACCCAACCAACCCTAAACCCCGCAACGCACAAATACATATACAGTAAGATTTTGGGACCGAACTTTGATGAGCTTTAATCAAATGTTTGTAATGCGTCATATGTAATAGAATCCAAATTACGAGAAATTTTATAAGGATATATTTTTATGAGGCCAATCAATGTTAAGAATTTAGTATTATTAAATTTTAAAAAAAAAACGATAAATTGAGATGTTCTGTACTTCTGTTTCGCAACTTAGCCCGGGGGAAAATGAAGCTGCCACGGTGGACCATATTTTGCCAGGTCAGATACAGAATGGTCCAACCACATGCGCCTTCCCTTCTCCCCTCTTCACCGGACACGTGGCAGAAGTGAATAAAGTCAATCGCGACTCTAGAGCAACGTTGGATTATATATATGTGCATTTATGATTGAATTCCCCCAAGTATTCCTAAACAATTGAATAAATTTGAGCCAGACTGAATATCATATTGTTCAGATTTATTTATTTTCTTATTTATATTTCGACGAATTTAATTTGTAAATTATTCAGCTTTTTTATTTTTTCTTCTTTATTTATTACGTTTATTAAGTTTTGGTGCGTGCTGAAAAATTCGTGACAGTAGAGTAACAGATTATTGTCTTAATATTGTACGATAATTCAACACTCACACAGATTAAAGAGAAACAAGCAGTGATGACTCCAAAAACTTTTACGTGGAAAACCAACCACGGGGTCTGGCCCAATTGCGAAAATTCACTATTGAGTGATGATTGCAGAGACCCCTGTCCCACAGATGAGAAAGAGTTATTAACTTTCCAAGTTATAACGTCGACTGACGGCGTCTAGTCGACGATGACCGACGGAGGTCGGCGGTGAACGACGGTAGTCAACAACAATTGATGATAGTCAACGAAGGTCAGTGGTGGTCGACTGCAGTTAATGACGGTTGACGGAGGTCAGCAGTGATCGACAGTGCTTGAAGATGGCCAGCGGTGGCCGTTGAAGGTCGGTGGAGATTGACGGAGGTCTGCGGTGATCGACGGTGGTTGACGATGGTCGAAGGTGGTCTACAAAGGTCGGCGGTGCTTGAAGGAGGTCGGTAGTGGTCGACGATAGCTAACGGTGGTCGATAGAGGTCGGCGGTGACAGAGATGAAGTTGGACTTGAACTCCTTCTCAAAACCTCAAGTTCTCTCTCAAGCCTCTCCCTCATGTGAGAGGTGATGTTCTTTTGATAGTGTTTTGGGTGTAAATAATGCAGGAATACGAACCATTTTAATCGAACGGCCGTGAGAGTTTCCCTCGATCACATGACGTTTGATGGACATTTGAGTGCCTTAAAGATGTCGTAATTGAGCAATATTGGGCTCGCTATATTCGACATCCGTTTGACCTTTCAAATACCTCAGAAAATCTTTCAAAAGTGGTTTAATGATTTGATCCGGGCTTGATCTCACTCGGATTTGACTAGTTTTTATATCATTGGGTATGTTTGATCGATCCGGTCAGTTTGAGCATAAGTTTACCGAAATTAATATTTCTGCTCAAAATGTTACATCGAGATTCATGTCATGCCTCGAGAATTGTGATAGATGATGAAAATTTGTTGGTGTTGTATCAAGTTTAAGTTAAAATTGAATAGTTAGCATTTTCTTAATATTTATATAATATCAGATAAGATTATTATTTTGAGAACTACAAAAAAAAATTACCATAATAAAAAAGCAAAAATAAATTATTTTAAATAATATTAGAAACCGTTTATTGAAAAGCGAATAGATATATTCATCAAGATAAATGAATTCAAATTGATTCCTTTATATGAAAGTCATTAAAACATTGTTTCATTCAATTATATGAATAAACGACATTGATGATCTTTTAATTGAAAGTTTAGTCAACCGATTCACATTAAACGGAAAGATTTAGGTTTATAAGTAAATTTATTCAAATAAAGGAAATAAAAAATAAAATAAAATACAATAAAGAATATCAGGTGAGGGGCGGGCAGGGCTAATACCGTCATTTCGAATGCTAAAACTGCAGGAATTTAAGGGGAGCAAGTTGCTCCGCTTCCGCTCCATTCCTTCTTCCTCCTTTCTTCCCAAACAGACAGCGGGAAATCAAGGAAATAGAGGGATTGTAATCGAAGAGGGAAATAGAGAGACCGAGAGGAATGAAGAGGTGCGAGCTCTGCGATCGGTCAGCGAGGATGTACTGCGAATCGGATCAGGCGAGCTTGTGTTGGGAGTGCGATGCAAAGGTGCACGGCGCTAATTTTCTGGTTGAGCGCCATCCGAGGGTGCTTCTCTGCCGGAGATGTCAGGCGCAGACACCTTGGCGAGCTACTGGAGCTCGGCTTAGCCCCATCATCTCGGCATGTGAACGCTGCACAACCATTGACAAGGCCTCGCCAGCAGGTGAAGAACAAGACGACGACTCCCGTATTGTAGAGGAGGAGCAGGACGATTACCAGGTTGTTCCGTGGAGGCTTACTCCACCGCCGCCGGGGAGTTCATCAAGCGGCGAGGAGTCATCATCGCCATCTACGGGTAGGGCTAGCAGCAATTTCCTGAAGCGGGTCAGGGAAAGCGCGGTTATCGGTGAAGAGGTAGAGGAAATTAACTGTGATTGTGTGAAAATTTCTTCGATTGTTGTTCGCACCGCTTCTTATTCTCTATTACTGCTATTACGAGAAGAGTTTCTGAAGTGGAAATGTTTTGGGTGCAGAACGAAAGCACTTGCCCCTTTCATCGGAGAAGCCGACAAGATCTGTCCATTCAGGCTCCCTTTTCTTCCCAATCTGTCGCCGATGAAAAGGCTACCCACGCGTCGGCCTCCTGCTTCTGCCCCTCAAAGGATCGTCGGAGAGCCATTCTCCAATCGGATGCGCAGTTGTCTGCAGACTCAACTAGCAACGAAAGCCGTGTCTCCACCCGACGAGCTTCTGCTGCCGCTGATCCTGTCTCTTCCCCTTCCGGCAGCCCTCCGATCTAGGTCAGTAGTAAATCTCATCATTCCATATTTTAGGAATAAAAGTGTACTGATTCAAGAGAACTCGTCTTATGGGCGGCTTATTTGGCATACTTTTTTTGCATACCAAACTGCCTATACCATTTTTTTATTTTAAATTTTATGCTTCTTTGTTCGAAGATTTTCTTGATATTTTGAAACAAAGAATAATAATTTTAGGATTGTTGAGGCGTGATCATACATAGATTTCTCGATTCTTAGTTTCTGATTCATACAAATAGGATATGTATTAATAATGCTTGTAAAATTAGCATTGTTTACTGTGGAATTTAATAAGCATGATAACGTACAGGAGTTATAGAAATATTTTCCGACAATATTCCCTATTATTTAATTTGTTGGATAATAAATAATATTGAGGAGTCTAGAGGGAAGACGTCTCCGGATGGGAAGGGACGGTGCCGCCGTACGCCGTTCGGTCCGCTAATAGGATTGCCCCATCACATCATTACGTGTGAGCTGTCTGTTGCCATTAATTCTTAGCCACAAGTTTTGGAGTGAGACAGAGAGAGAGAGAGAGAGAGAGTGTGTGGGTGTAAATGTAGCGATGTTCTGTGTGGCGTTGGGGACCAATTTTTCTGATTTAGTATATATATTATTTTTCCATATTGAAGTAGTGAACGACATGGATCATAAAACGCGTGTAGTTGGGCCAAGGTGCATGGACAGCTTCAGCCATGTAAAGTGGTGGTGAAGTCTTGGAATTCGGGCCGCCCATTTGGCTCACTACCGAGCCACGTCATTGTCATCTTACGTTCCACCTTTAGCCATCTTTGAATCTGGGAATTGGAGTTTTGGATGTGGCCAGCTTTGTTTGTTGGTTTAGATCCAATTCTGTGCCACATACTTTTAGGGCGTTCAGTTATGATTGATAGGTTGATGAGAACTCTATTCAAATCAGGATTCAACTATTATTATTATGATTATTATTATTATTATTTTATTTTAATAAAGTTTATGCATTTAGTGCTATATATTATGCTACGCTTTCTTTGATAGATCATATTTAATTTGAAAAGTTGTTTTAATTCCAGTACCTTAATGCTTCTCTCTGGCTCAATTTTTTTCTTCTTCAGTTTATTTTGAATTTTAAAATATTAGAATAAATGTGTATTTACATATCTAACACCTAAACTTTGATTTTTGCATTTCTAATGCCCAAATCTTTTATATGATATCATAAATCATTTTTGTAATTAAAAAAAAATGAAATGCACCTTTTTCTTGCATAAATAAGTTTGGCATATATGTTAAAATTGAAGTATAGGTGGTAGTTAGATATGCATGAACATAAGAATTGAATGATATGTATGTAAATCTTCTCTTTTTTTTTTTTTGATATATTGTATATCATAGATATAATATTTTTTCAAAATACTCTGGAGTATTATCAATAGTTGGTTTGAGTTTCTGTTGTTTGGGACGAGTTCTTATACAGTTTTATTAGCACAGTTTTATTTTTCATATTTGTGATGATTTTAATAGTTTCAGTT